GAGGCTAGTTCTCACACTTGCTTGTCTCTGTGAACTTGGTTGCATCACCTAACCTCTCTGAGTTTCATTCCCTTCAGTGATAAAGGAGGGAAATATCATCTGTCTTACAAGATTGTGGTAAGTGTTAAGAGACATGGTGTGGAGGCTAGGTGTGGTGGCTCATGCCTGTAATCCCAGCACTTTGGGAGGCCAACGCAGGCAGATCATGTGATCAGGAGATTGAAACCAGCCTGGGCAATATGGTGAAACCCCGTCTCTACTAAAATACAAAAAAATTAGCCAGGCATGGTGGCATGTGCCTGTAGTCTAAGCTACTCAGGAGGTTGAGGAAGGGGAATCACTTGAAACTGGGAGGTGGAGGTTGCAGTGAGCCTAGATCACGCCACTGCACTTCAGCCTGGCGACAGAGTGAGACTCCGTCTCAAAAAAAAAAAAAGACACAGTATGATAAGTGCATGGCCCTGGACTTGACTATCTTGTTTAGACAGTAGAAATCATCACTATTCTGACAAGTGGAAGTCTTCCATTTCTACAGGCACACGGTCTGTTTCATAACTCCCTGCCTTTGTATTATGCTACATGCTCCCTCACCTGGAGTGCCCTTCTCCCTCTCATCTGTCTGTTAAATGCCCTATCCTTCAATGCTCAGCGCATGGTCTTCCTCTAGGAACTACTCCCTAACTCAGATGAGCAGACATGATACAGTGTAATGAAGGAGCATGTATCCTGGATTTAGCAGACAGACATGGCTTGAATTCCAGCTGTGCCACTTCGACAGCTCTGACAAGCATGTGATTAGCATGTTACTTAACATGTAATATGAGTACCTACATCACAGAATTGTTCTGAGAATTAAAAGAGAAAATGCCTGAGACTTGCTAAACTCAATGTCTAGCCCATAAGTGCTCATTACACCCTTCTTTGGGCCAGTCTTGTACCTAGTGCCTCCCTCTCTATAGTTTCTCTCTAACTGTGCTTCAGTTATTTGTTTGATGACATGCCCTGTACTGTACTGTGTACTTGCTGAGCAAGTCTGTCCTAGCGTTCAGCAATAATAGCTAGCTTTTTTGTACATTTACCAAAAATTTCCAAGAATCAGGCAAACATTTTAAATATATGTATTATCTCATTTAATACTGATTGGAAATGACATTAGGATCATGTTTAACACAAACTCAGTGGCTTAAAAAAAAAAAAAAAGAAGCTGGGCACAGTGGTTTATGCCTGTAATCCCAGCACTTTTGGAGGCCAAGGCGGGTGGATCACCTGAAGTCAGGTGATCGAGACCTGTCTGACCAACATGGTGAAAACCTGTCTCTACTAAAACTACAAAAATTATCCGGGCATTGTAGTGGGTGTCTGTAATTCCAGCTACTCGGGAGGCTAAGGCAGAAGAATTGCTTTAACTCAGAGGTGGAGGATGCAGTGAACCGAGATCACGCCACTGCACTCTAGCCTCGGCAACAGAGTTAGACTCTGTCTCAAAACAAACAAACAAAAAATTATCCTGGCTGGGTGCAGTGACTCATATCTGTAATACCAGCACTTTGGGAGGCCAAGGTGGGCACATCACTTGAGATCAGGAGTTTGAGACCAGGCTGGCCAACATGGAGAAACCCTGTCTCTACTGAAACTACAAAACTTAGCCAGGCATGGTGGTGGCGTGCACCTGTAGTTCCAGCTACTCAGGAGGCTGAGGCAGGAGGATTACTTGAGCCTGGGAGGCAGAGGTTGCAGTGAGTCGAGATTGGGCCATTGCACCTTGCCCTGGGTGACAGAGTGAGACTCTGTCTCCAAAACAAAACAAAAAACAATCCTGCTACCTTCTAAGGTTGGCCAGGGCTGAACAACACCTCTGACTCTTTGTTCACTGCCTGCATTATAGGGGATTACAGGGCTTTACTCATTCATGTCCTGATTCAGAACAGCTTCAGTGGCCTCTGGTCCCAGCCTTTCAAATGATGTTCTTACTATTCATTTTGTTATAGTGAACCCCAAGTTGCTCTTCAAAGAATCAGTATGTCAGTATGTTCAGCCCTCTTATTCTTTAATTCTCTATTTTAAAGTTTAACTTCTTTGTAATTCCAGTAAACAACTTTCTCCACCAGTTCTAATCAGTAGTTCATATCTGTTCCCCTGGCCCCTAGCTCCATTCTGACTCATCCTGGTCACCTGCTCCAGTCACCTGCTCTGGTCACCTTCTCTGACCTAGGTCACCTCTGGCTACCTGCTCTGACCCGCCTGTAACTGTCCTTCCCACCAAAACACCTACCCTGCCACTCCAGATCAGACTCCTGCTCTCTTTAAAATAGCCAGTCGGTATTAGTCTAGCTTGTGCGGTGTAATCCTAGCCAATAGGGGAACAACACAGCAGTAGGGTCCACCCCTGTTAGGCAAAAGTACCCTTTTCCCCACTTGCCCAAGTGTGTGGCCACCATTGCTCCATCCATGAGCCGCACCCTTCTACAGAAGTGAACTGCCTTGCTGAGAGGATTTATCTCCGAGTGCTTTTTCTCATGTGGCATCAAAATTTTACTTTTAGTTTGCTTCACTTTCTTCCCTTTGTCATATTATCATTTTTTTTAATTTTAATTTTTTAATTTTTTTTTTTTTT